CAATTTCGAGACCGCCTCGGCCCGAATCTGCCCTTCAATAACTGCTAGTAGCCGAAATAAAATTCAATTTTAGATGCAGGGAACAGCGTACTCAGTGTGCATGCAACTAGTGAAATATCGACAATCTCAATAAAAAAGATTGCATTCAGTGGCCAGAAAAAATTTTGAAAATGCAGATTGTTAACCATTTTCCATTTAAAAATTGAGTTCAAAAAGTGTAACCGATTCCATTTTATCTTGCTTAGAGATTCCAACAAATACAATATTGTTAACTTTAAACGAGCTAACTTAAAAACTAGACTAGGTGAGAGAGGATTCGATCTTTAAGAATACCGTCATTTTGTTAATTAACCTACAGTGTTGGCTTCTTTCGTTATGTATACAACGTACACTAGCAGGCAAGCAAGTGTGACGTGTGGCGAGTGTTGATAAAAGCATTCCATTGGCATGGCGATCCCGTCTGCAAACCTCCGGAATTTGCTTCTTTTAAAGTACATCACTTTGCACAAACAATGCAGGAAGCACTCCAATAAAAGAGCTGCGGTTTTCAACAACCACTTCACAGGTGATTCGATCCATTCAAACTGCCGGGTTTACGTGTTATTCATTAAATTATTTAACCAAATGTATTTTACACAAATACACTTCGAAAACAGTCATGTGATTCCTAGGGTGTAGCCTACTAGTATTTCGTCTCGCCTTCTCGCGTTCACGTGACAACATCAGTGAATGTCTCTGGTCGATGCGTCGCTGTTGTGCCAGTGGGTTTAAAACGAAATTAGCGTTCAATTGTGCAAACGCTAGGGGGCGAGATATATCTAGGTATTGCTGTCTGTTTCGAGATGACACGTGACCAATTGTACGCTTAGATAGTTTCGCGTTTATATTACCACCTGAAAGAAAACTGTCCTATATTTTTACCCGTCATTGATTGTGAGGGGTAACTGCCCATTTGTCGGAGACGTGTTCACGTCGATTTCTATTTCCAACATTCTTTGCTATTCTATTCATAATGTGTTGTAATTCCATTGACTGCGCATGCGTTAGTATTTGAATATTGGGAAACGAGTTTCTCTGTTTGTCTTTAATGCTTTTAATTTTGTTTTTGTTATTGTTGTTTTTTCTCGTTGATTACGGTTAAAACAAATACTAACAGCATAATTATTTGTTTGTATTTTCATGTCCTGTCTACAAAACACAGAACGAATGCGCAGGTTTGTTGATATGTTTCTGAGTGTCATTCGAAAACAATTTTTATTAGTAACCCACACAATTCATTTTACGTTTTCAATTGTTATACATGTACTTTGCTGCAGTATGGCCGCCTTTGTATACGCACCACATATAGTCACGTGATATGGAATACGACTGCAAACATCCGGGAATTCAAATTTCCAAATCGGGAAGAAACAAAATTTCAAAAGACTCTTTAATTTATGTTGACAGCTGCCATCAGGGACTTGACATGTATGCAGTGTCCTGCCCAACCTGGTCCACCAGGCCGCAATGGACTACCAGGACCAGCTGGCCCACAAGGACAGAAGGGTGAACGGGGCGCACAGGGTAAGTAGTGGATAATTTTTTTTAAAACTCGGAGTAAGTACAAAAAAGTATAATTATATAAGACATATTTAGAAACAGTACGTTCTGCTCATTCATTGAATCAGGCCGCTATGTTCTGATGGTTGTTTCTGTTTTTGTGTCGCATTTTCAATGTAGAATCTAATAAAATATGAAACTCGAACTGTTGAATGTAAGTGGATAACACCAGAATGAGCTATTGACTGGATTTAGTGCGAAATGACTAAACATTTAGACATTGGGTCTAGAGAAAAACATACACGAAATATGAATTGTGCTCGGATTCAGGTCACAGTTGAGTCAACTATATATGCAAGGCAGAATTCGATACGTCAAAAAAAACTGTCAACAAACAAGCTGCTCTCTGATTGGTCTGACTGTTAGGTGTTAGGGTGTGGTAGCCAATCAGACACAGTCTTATAAGTAGCCTCGTATTGACTCTCAGATCATGAT